CTTTTTCTCGCTCCTTCTTTCCTCAACCTATCCAGAGGACAGATTATTGCAGCCCGAGGAGCGGCAGGCGCAGTCCCTCCGTAAAGTTCTGCCATAGTTTCCTAATCTAAGCTGTATTTTTTCTAAGCACATCTTTACAAACCGCCCCCATATTACCTTTCTCGCTCTCCCCCTTCCAGTTTCTCTTTATAACCACTAACTAAAACAGCTGGGAAGAAGCAATCAAACATTGCTTTATCTTTATAAAAATACAGAAATTGCCTACTAAAAATCCCATTTTTACTTTGAATGAAAGCCATTCAGTGCAGTATAATTTTGCAAGCTAATGAGCCGGTATTACAGGCAAGTGTTTCGTGTAATATGTTGTGGGAGAAATGAAAATGTCCTTGAAGTGACATCATTTAAAATTGACTGTCACAAATGAAAAAAAAAATCATATATTCCAAAACAAGAAGATCTGAGCCCAAACTTCATTTCCAAGAACGGGCTGTGTTTTATTAATTTGCAGTTGAATTATGACTCACTGGGGGCTCTAAATGGCTGGAATGAACCATAATGCCCCATTTAAAGAAAAAGAAAGATCTTTATCGCCAAACTTTTAATTTTCATTTGAGTGTGGTTAATTACCGTGAAAGAGAGAAGAAGGAAGCAGAGAAAGGATTTTCCTTTCCTTGAAGGTCCCTGCCTTCTCCTCAGTACAAAGTTACATGTTTACATTTAGGAAAATACCCTATTCTGAATTGTTTCTGAACAGCGGACAGCCTTGACAAGGAACTCAAAAAAAAAAAAAAAAAAAAGATACCCCCAGGAACTGCTTCAGGACAGTTTCCTGGGTAGTTAACACTTTGTTACCAAAACGAAGAAGGAGGAAGGAGGAGAGGTTGTCTTTTAAAATATAAACTCTTCCTGCTGTTCTTCCTACTGGAAGGAAGGGGTAGGGGGCGGAAAGAACAGCTTTGGCAACAGAGACCTCTGATTTTTCTGTTGTTGTTAAGGCTGTTGTTGGCTGGCTGGCTGGTGTTTTCTGGTTGTGCTGGGTTCTGACATCATTGCAAGTTACTTGGCAGTCAGGGCCCTTCCCCAGCCAACTTCTGACCCAGAAAGCTGTGCCTGTGTTACTGGCATCCAATCATTCCGTATTTTCTCCATCAAGGGAGCAAACCCTGCTGCAGGCAGAGGGCTCTGTGCACTGAATGAAGATGCAAGGTGACCAGTGGTTTGATGAGGAATCAAATTGCCACCCACCTCTCCAGAAAGCTCAGGAGTTGTCCTGTGTCTGCTGCAACAGCAAACAGAAAAAGCTCAATCCTCTAGATTCCTGAATTCTTTGCTGAAATTAGTGACGGACAACTCGCCAAAGTGCCACCCTAGAGCCCTAGACTGAGTTCCTAAACCCATGAATGAAAACATTTCAGGTTGCAGAAGGGTATGGGGATGGGTGACTTCAAGCCAAAAATTAGACATGTTTTCAGTTTCAATATCAGTCTGGACCTTAGAGCCAATCCCTGTGTTGGGTGTGCTGGGGGAACAGAGTTCAGGAAGAGGACAAGTCACTGGTGTCAAAGAATGACCCTTCACCTTTGGCCAGGATGGAAATAATTTTAATTTATTAAGGAGTCATCAGGAAAATGACACTCTTTTTATTCCGATTTTAGTGGGAAGAATTGTAAGGAAACTGCTCACTCTTTATGCCGTTTGTTAGCATCTGGCCCTTTCGGTTGATTTTAGACACTTTTAATCTGTTAGCCCTGTTTACTTCTTTAGTCTGCTGCCCCTCCGCAGCCATCATCTTATACTCTAGTTTCCTGCGAAGTTGCATGCTTCATGTCTCCATGCCTTCACTTGTGGTATGATTTCTGGGATTCTCCTTCACCATGACTTGATGCCCTTTAAATTCTGCTTTTCTTGACTTTTAACAAAAATTTTGCTGAGGTGTCAGAATTTCCTTCATCCCACTACCTTTGGGATGGGTTTAAGCACCTCTCTTCTGTACCCTTATGTAACTCACCAAATTAAAGGGAAAATACATGTTCAGGATGTCTTCCCTACTGGCTGCTTCTTACCTGTAGGGATCATGCCCTATTTACCTGCACAGCACCAGTGCCTAGCCCAGTGCCTGGTATTTAATGGGCACTCAGTAAATACTTGTTGAAGAGATCTGGTCATGGAACTCACAACTACTTCACATTCTTTTATGTGCCAAACCAGAGAGTATGGTCTCTATGTTGCATGCTCCTTCAGAATAGGGGTTTATTCACCTGCATCCCCAGAGCAAGCATAGTACCTGTGTAAGGATGTTTGTTGAGTGAGTGAATGATGAAGGGAGGGGAGGAAGATATTTGGCTCTTTCTGTATTCAGAAAGAATACTTAAAGGGTTCAGTGATGTAAATGGTTAATAACTATGCTTTATAGTGTTATCTTCATACATCTCTCATCACTGATAAGTGGTAACCTAATTTACAATCTATTTTTTAAAATTTACTTTAGCCCTACCTGGTTTGGCTCAGTGGATAGAGCATCAGCCTGGGAACTGTAAGGTCCCAAGTTTGATTCTGGTCAAGGGCACATTTCTGGGTTGTGGGCTCGATCCCCAGTGAGGGGGCTTGCAGGAGGCAGCCGATCAATGATTCTCTCTCATCATTGATGTTTCTATCCCTCTCTCCCTCTTCTTTCTTCTCTGAAATCAATAAAAATATATTTTTTTTAAAAATTACTTTAGGAGTAAAATTCAGAAGTTTATTTCTATGTTTTAGTTCAAATCTAGTTTTTGTTTTTTGTTTTTAAAATTTATTTTAGAGAGAGAAAAGGAGAGAGAGGGAGAGATCAATCGGCTGCCTCCCACATGCACCCTGGCCAGGGATTGAATCCTAAACATAGTTATTTGCCCTGACCTGCAATTGAACCCACCACCTTTTGGTGCATGGTACGATGCTACAACCAACTGAGCTACACTGGCAAGGGCTTTAACCTGCTCTTAAGAATAAAAGCTATCTGAAAGTTATAGAAAGTCTGTGTCTAATAGTCAATGAAAGCTTATCAATCATCAGCGAGTACCACTCTTTAACTATTACAGTTATTAAATGAAGAACCTAATGCTAAGGTATGTGCTATACTCTATCTTAAGCATTTTACAAATATTAACTCACAACAAGTCTGTGAGGTAAGTACTATTATTATCTTCATTTTACAGAAGAGGAAAACTGACGTTTAGAGAGTTTAAAGGACTGCCTAAGGCCACAGGTAACTAAGCAGGATCTGAACCCTACCTCTTACTTGGTTGTAATAATACTTTTAATAGTGAGGTCACAGTTATTGGCAGAAGGCTTTGGAACATAGGACAGCCTGGATTCAAATTCAGACACCTCCTCTGAGGATAATTTATTCAACTACACTGCGCGTCAGTCTTCTCATCTGTGAAACAAGGGTGATACCAATGCTTCAGATGTCTTTCATGAAGACAATGTGGTAACGCATGTAAAGTGCTTAGCATCTTACCTAGAACACAGAAAGCACTGAATCAACATTAGCCAACATTCTTACATATGCCCTGAAGGCCATGCAATCTGGGAATTCTGCAGAATTGGATTAGAAACTTAATCCAGCTTCACATTAAATGTGAGATTTAAAATAAAAGTACATAGTATGCCATGGGTTTGCAATAAATTTTTGTTGCATTCCATCTCCTTCATTTCCTCATCTATGTGCATGTGTTTATTAATTCAGACATGCTATTCACTATCCAGTTGTTGATATAAAATAACATTTGTCTGAATTTTAATGAATAATACAGCTTGAATAATACAGCTTAGGATGCAGAATTTCATGTTTTAAAATAAGAAGATAGAGGTATTGAAATTATAAAGGTAGCTACAGCTTCTATGATCACTTTAATTTGAAGAGCACATATAGCATTCCTTGCGTTTGCACATTATAGCAAGTGCTTTTGTGGCAAGGGATTGCTTTAAAAACTAATCTAAGCGCTCCGTGACATGATAAATCATTAATAATATAGACCCAAATCTCAGCATCTGCATGGGCACAGCTGGCCTCCTTGTGTCAATAGTCTGCATATGAAAGTGACTCTGCTAAGATATTTCACTTTAATGAAAAATATTTATCATGGTAAATCTTCAACCTCAAGAGTTTACTGACATAATTCATTTCTATTATTATGTACTGTGATAGTATACCACCACAGCTAGGTTTATGTTTGGAATGATAAAAATGTGCTTTTTTAGTCATTTTGATTACTCTCCCTTAGCATGAATAATTTTTGCTGTACTCTCTGAGTAAAGGGAATGCACCATGCATTTACAGAAATAATAAATCAGCTACTTGTCTAATTTTGCTAATGATTCTGCAGGTGCCACTTTGTGGAAGGACACTGAATGCTCAAGCCGAATAAAAAGAGGTAAGCTCCCCACCCCCATCAGAAACAGCAAACAGCCTTCAATAACACAAGCTCTTTTGAAAACAGACAAGAGAGAGGAATGCTATCACCATTTTATCAAAGATCTTTTGAACAAACAGAAGCAAAATAAAATTTTTGGAGGGAGAATCAAATAAAAAGATGATAACTCAGCTGGATTGCTTAATTGTACTTCAATGTACTTTGGGGAGAAATACTTATGATTTAGGGATGCCAGCTTACATCCCAACAGATGTAAATTCCTTACAGGCGTCTCTCCACAAATTTACAGTAACCAAGCCTCTGACCTTGAAGAACTGGGGCTGAATAGTATCTATTAAATGTTATAAAGTCTTAACAAAGAAGAAAGAGAAATAAAATAAC